ACTGCAAGTTCCCCCTATAAGTACAACCAGAAGAAACTGAGATCAAAGAGCAACAGTTTGTGAACGCAATTTCATCAGTGTCATTTTGAAGCTTCTTTTCCCACCTCGAATAATATGAGACTTTCGTTTGAAGCTAACATTTTGATGACTTACGGCTGTTCCATGAATCTCGCTTGTACTGACGACACAAACACAAAAATATCGAAAATATAAGGGGATATCTGTATTTAGTTAAATAATAAATTAAAATTTAGAATGTACATAATTGGATTGAACGGCATTTTTTTTCAATCGGTTACCTACATATTTGCTATAAAGCCCTAGCATGGAATATGTCACTATGTAACTGGTTTACGTTCATACCAGTATCAACTTGAAAAAATGACGTGCAATCCTTATATTAAAGCAGGAATGTTACTTTTGAGGGGGACAGCCTTTGATTTTACTTCTGGTATTATAATTTGTTCCACTGCCACTCATGATAACTTTCCTCACTCCCGAATCACTGGATAAACTTGCTTAGAATTGGTATTGCAATCCACAAGTGGGTTTATCCTTGGACGTGATTTTGTTTGTCAATCTTTTATTTTTTTTGAGCTTATTCTGATGATTGAACAAAAGAAAAATACTCTGGCATGCTCATGAGCATATAATTGGGAAATTCCACCCTCGGGATTTTTTAAGTTGATGCAAAACCCTGGGCAAGCCTCTGGTTCTACTCAATTTGAAAACCCTTTGGAATTTCCCTATCCTACACCTCCTGGTTACATGTATAAAAGAGTCTTATATTCTTGTAAATCTGTGATAAATCCTATACATATATGTGATACATCTACATACAATGTAATATACACCGGGTGTATTGGTACATACAAAGAATATACAATATTCACTATGAGATTCTACAATAGTTATACCTATATTCACTTCATCAAAGTCAGACATTTGCTTGAGACCTCAAGGAGGGAGGGCCACCTCATCTTAATCCTTCGCGTTGGGGGAGCCAGGGTTGGCTTCCGACCAACTTCAATACAAAAGGTGTGGGCAAGCCAACGTGCCTCTAATTAACTAGTAGCGTTACCCCTAAGGTGTCGCTCATTAAAAGTCCATTAACCTACGAGGTACGCACGCAAGGCCCGATACGTTGTCTATTTAGTAGAAAATATATGTTTTTTCGGGAGTTTAACAGTGCTAAAAGGTTTTTATCAAAGAATTAAAGGTTTAACTTTATTTCTTTTTTTTCTTTAATTGAATACGATTCTCTGCGTGAACAAGTGGGGAAATATTGTACAAAAAACTATCTTTTACAATTTCCTTTATGTTTTTTTCCTAAAAGTAATCTTTTTGTTTTGCTCCAAAGCTGAACTAGATTTAAACAAAGCGTTTTTATAGATATATTCGTCTCATAACTTGGCTGTTCTCATTTTTTTCTTTTTTTTTTCTTAGAGCTATCTTCGAAATCCAAAAGATCCCCTCTAAATATTACATATCTATTCTCAACCCTTGGTACTCTAATGACAGGTCTTGAAGATCATGTGCGCACAAATAGAAATTGATAAGTCAGACAGAGAAAATTTGTATTTAGAGAATGCAACTCTTGGATTTCGAATATGGTGCAGAATTAATGTTAAATATTTGTTGTATCTGATTGGAAAAGGAAACGGCTCTATCTACCAGTTTATTGTTCAAGTTTGTGTTTGAAACTAGAATGAAAAACGTCATCTTGATTAGGAAATTTAAGATTGTATCTGTCGATTTTATATCTCGCGTTCAAAGACATCGCTGTCTTAGCCGCCACGGGTACCGCTATACATTCGCTATCGTTGAATCATAAGATCGTCTGCTTGCAGATAAGCACAAAAGATTGGGACGGTCTTCATTTAAATAGTGTTACCGTTCAGTATCTCGCACCGTGTTCAACTCAACACAATATCAGGCCTGTTTCCACCCAAAGTACATTAGTATGTACATCTCAATCAAACATGTGCAGATTCGGGCGGAGAATTAGACCTGGGCACATAGTCAAGAAACCGTTCTCATGCTCAAACTCAGATTCCATGCTCAAGCCCCATTTCTTGTTCCAGCGATAATGTAAATATATAAAAAAAAAACATAATATTTTTTTACTTATTTGAAAGAATTTCGGATCAACGAAAGTCAATATGTTTTTTTAAATTATTACACCTAACAATTTAACCTTGCCATATCATTTAAACAAATAAATGGTTTGAGCACAGAATCTATCCTTGAGCTTGGAAATGGTTTCATGAATACGGGCCCTGCTCTATGCAAATATGTATGTACATGTACGCAAGCGGCGACTACTGTCGAACCCCCTGCAGAACCGGTGTTTTCGCTGTTCTATAGCTTAGGGAACATCGGAGTAACCAACACTGATCTGCTGACCCCATAGCAACACTTGGACCTCTGTATTTCTGGGGGTTTTAACCTGTTCTTTTTTACGGTGGTGTTTCCTCCAGCGTCTTTGAATTTCATATTGTCAGAACAGTGTGAGCTCTTGGTGTGTTATGTTACGATGACCTATATTGTAATGAGATTGTACTTTAAAATGACCGTTGAATGACCCCATCATCTGTGGAAACTGTTGGCCTATAACCTCAACAGTTGTAACAAACAAACAAACAAACAACAAACAAACAATAATGTGACGTACTAACGTATTATGTTACATATGCTGCGTTTATCCACCATCCGGTTATTTTGTGGTAAACTAGGTTCATTTCAATATTTTCTAATGTTAATAAAACAAACTGATACCAAACCTTAAACATAGCAGTGATTCGAGCTCGAAGATGAAAAAGAAATAAGGGCAGACTAAAGATAAAGGACAAATACAGAGACACTCGTGAAATAGTACAAAAAACGGGCCGCGGTGGCCAAGTGGTTAAGGCGTCTGACATTCTGCTACCACAAGCCCTCCACCACTGGTCGCGGTATTCGAGGCCTACGTTGGACAGTCGCTAGGTACTGGCCGTAGGTCGGTGGTTTTTCTCCGGGAACTCCGGCTTTCCTCCACCACCAAACCTGGCACGTCCTTAAATGACCATAGCTGTTAATAGGATGTAACACACAAATAAACCTAACGAGTGTTATGTGGAATTATATGTATATTATATTATTTTCTAATGCTTATACAATAAACTAATACCAAACCTTAAACATTGCAGTGATCCGAATTTGATTAAGAAATAAGGACATAATATAGCTCAAGGAAACATTTACAGAGATATTCAAGAAATAGAACAGGAAAACGTAGAACGAGACGAGATGTTCTAGAAGGGCCAGCGTTTTCTGGTTCATCGCCAACACCAGCAATGTAATTCTAGGTAAAAAAACCACGTCCTCAATGGGAGGCCTGAGGTTAAAATAACAGAAACTAAATTAAATAACAATAAAAAGATACATGTCCCCCAAAGACATAGACTATTTCTGAATGCGATTATGACGGAGACCACTTGTCCTTAATCTTCAACAACTTTCATCTCTTAAAACTTGGTGCTGCACGTTTGTCTGTCATTTAGCTACAATATCTGTTGTTACACGGAACAGGACATAAATGATTAATGATGCTTATGCATAATTAAACAAACTACATGAAAACAATCCAGTTTTGATACAAAACATGTTTCCGAAAGTTGTAAGCATGCTTGATAATGTTCGTCACAGTTACTTCTAACATGTGCGCACATATTTTGTTTTGTTTATTTTAAATTAGACTGAGAATAATTCTAAAAAACCGTGTATATAGTACTTTTAACCTGAGAGGTATCAGCTGTGCGCTATGATTAATGATTATAGAAAGATGAGCATATGAGTTCCTTTCCTTTCCATACGTTAATTTAGCGGATCGAAGACAGGTGCCCGTATGTAATAGAATTATGCTGTTAACACTCGACTGTTGGCTAGATTGAATGTGTGGCACATATGGACGCTGTCAAGCCTAACAAACTAGCCAATTAGTGGAGGCACCCGACACAAAGGTTGTGTTATTATTTTAATTCCACTATCCTGCGAAATACCCCAATAACCATTGCATAACTTTCTTTGCGAAAATGTTTAAACTTGGTTTCCTATAGCGTATGTATTAAGACAAATATTTCATATCATGCTAGAGTGTTGTACATTGTTTTTATAATTCCGAAACTGGTCATCTGGATAAACAAATATGTACGGAGCAAATCTTACTTACTGAGAAATACGTCAATGAACGGGTTTTTTGTTTAATCGTTAGGTGTTTTGTCCCTGATTTTATCGGGCTATAGCTTCAGGACTTTTCCGCGGTCATCAGAACCAATCTTCAAATTACGCTTAGATCACTTTCCATTCGCTCAGTCATCCCAACACGTGGATCGAACCATTCGGATAAAAGAGATGCAGCGAATATTCAACCTTGACCTTGAACTATATATTTCTTCTTATTGACCGATACCTCAATGCAAATGGCCTACGAAAGTTTTTTGAAGTTGCAACTTGTACTTTTATATACTTGCTCAAATTGTATATGTAGTTTGTGTCAGTGTTATAGGAGGGTTCTGGTCCCCCTAGATCAGGCCCACCTCCAAAGCATTTGCCGAGAAGAAATATACAGTTTTAAATGTAACAATGACAACGGCGTTGGGTACTTGTTTAAAAGTTGTTGTTTTTGTTTCTTCTTTGATTGTATACTACTGGTAAATGAGACACCACAAATTAGTTCCAAAAACAAAACCACGAAATTTAAAACCCACAAAAACAAAGCGCCATACAGTATTTGTTTGAAAATGTACTTCCTCGGGTTGAGAAAAGTGTTTTGGCAAATACTTTGATAAGCACCATCGACAGTTGGTAATTTCGAATATCATTTGCTGTAAAGGTGTATATGGTCATTGTCATATCGATTAACGTGAATGCAGTTGTCATCATTCCTTGTTCCTTTGTGTTTACTCTTGAGAAAGTCAATACATACAGTTGTTATAATTTGATTTTCTCTTTTTTTTCAGGAGTTAGAGGACGCAAGAAGAAAGGCTGTTGATCCCCAAGGAAGCTGGCTATCTTTTATAGAACATTCTAAGCGTCTTCCGGACGGCAAACAATCAGGACGGAAAAGAAAACATAAAAGAAATAACAGATTGGTATGTAGAAAATAATATATACTTTGTATCAACATTGAGGGTTTTATGAAACGTACCCCATACAGGGGAGGTTAAAATGTCATATATGCAAGTAAAATTATACCCACGCAAGTAACATCGAAATAAGAATTTGTGAACCTTGCCACCTTATCATTTTATTAGAATTTTAATGCATTTGGATACATTTCGTATAATTATTTAAGATATTCATGTTAATCTATCACCGTCTACAGGTTCGATTGTAAATTTAATCAGAGACGTATATTACAGAGATTGACAACTTGCTCTTTACCTTACCATTGTTTACGGTAACCGGATGTCATATCGCGAGTTACGCTTCCCCTGCGCCATATTGGATATACGGTTCGCTGCATTCAATAATCCTGTCATGTTCAAAACATAATTGTGCCGTGAGAAAATATTGAAAATCAACGTAATATTAAACCTGTAGCTGGCTGAGATTTCCATGCGGTTTGGGAGGGCTCCATTGAATGTAAACTTGTATGATTAAGTTTAGAAAACAACAAACATCGAAAGATTGCACATCGTGGCTGCGTTTATATGTCGGTAATGATTCTGGCCTCAGGAGAACACAACCTCCGTTTTTGTTTTTAAACAATTTCAAAAAAGTCGTTAGAAATTCATTATTTGAACATATTTATAACCAGGTTTTTAAAATGAGATTGGTAAAAAACTTGCAAAGTTTGATCATTTATATCTGAAAATACAGATTTTTAAGAATAAACAAGTTAAAATGGCGGCTGTGATGTGCGAGTGTTAAGTCCTTTCATGACACCGGCACTCCTTTCTCGTTCATTATTCAATTTCAAAAACGTATTAAGATATTACGTAATATTTTTAACCAGCCTCCTAATATTAGCCATATATGTCTAGGATATGTGACATGTTGACACGAACTAACGAATACACGATCGAATTCTCACATATAACACATTGTCCAGACTATCGTTAACAGCAAGGATCGATATCATTTTGCTTCGACATGTGCTTTTAGCTGTCAAAACAAACGCTCAAGCGTATCTTATTCCACTGCCTGAACTATGTAATCATGCGTGTTTTTGCGAGATCTGTGTTAGTTGCCAACCTCTGTAATGTATACGTCTCTGATTTAATGTATTGTTAATTGTATTTAAGTTGACGATGGGATCCATATTCGTTACTTTTCATGACAGCTATATATACTGATGTATCATATATCGGTGTACGCTTCATGATCAGCATTTTATTTGCCATTTCTAGCGTTGTCCGCCAGGGCCTATGGGACCACCAGGTCCCCAGGGGCCTCGGGGAATCCCGGGACCCCCGGGGGCTATAATCACTCAAGAGGAAATGATGAGAGAATTCCGCGCAATGGTAAAAGGTAATTTCTTTAATCATTTCAAAAATATATTAAAAAAGATGCATGTGAGTATATACTGTTGATTCCTCAGATTTGGGTTTAAAAAGTTTTCGCGCGAAATTTAATTATTTGAACACAATTAAACATCATGAGAATTGTACACCGTGTTTATTTCGCGAAAATAAAACATTCTGTGGATTGAAATACAACTGCGAAACTGAATGTATTCAAAAATGAAGTTTACATAAAAATAAAAAATAAATCATTTATATATTGAAAAACGAACCGAGGCAATGCACAATAAGCCAGTGAAACGAACTCATGTGGAACAGAATAAACACACATAAAATATGTCTCCCAAAACGAAATGATGCTGCATCCTGATCCCAAAACTACAATTATAATGAATATAAGAACGCGTCTCAAAAATGGACTGTTTTTGTTCAGAATTATAAAAAACAACCTCATCAAAAACAACATAATTAAAATTGAATCTTCGCATCGCTCCGTTTACTGATGGATTAGATAAAAAATAAATTCCTTTTCCATACAAAAATAAATACAGAGAAACGAATTGATGTTGTTAGGAATAAAAATTGGAATGTGTTCCACAAAGCAAACTGATGCTGTACAGAATAAACTTTTAACGTGGTTCCTAAAGCAAAGCGATGTTGTACAGAATAAAAGATTGAATGTGTCTCCAAAAACAAAATGATGCAGTACAGAATACAAATTAAAGTGTTTCCGAAAATGAATAAATGCTATTTAAAAGAAAAAAGATCGGCAATTCAGAGATGTCTCCTAAAATATCGTTATGTCGTTCAAAATGAACAATTAAAATGTGTCCATTAAAACGAATCGATACTCTTTGGAATAAACAAATAAGACATGTCTTTCAAAAAGGGTTAATACTGTTCGGAATAAACAATTAAAACATGTTTCATAAAACCAACTGAAACGTTAAAGAGTAAACAATAAGATTTGATTAAAAAAAGCGCGGATCGGTACGGACTCAACCACATGAATAAACAATTAAGATGTGTCTCAAAATGAATTAATGAAAGCATCACATTAAGATGTGTCTCAAAATGAATTAATGAAAGCATCACATTAAGATGTGTCTCAAAATGAATTAATGAAAGCATCACATTAAGATGTGTCTCAAAATGAATTAATGAAAGCATCACATTAAGATGTGTCTCAAAATGAATTAATGAAAGCATCACATTAAGATGTGTCTCAAAATGAATTAATGAAAGCATCACATTAAGATGTGTCTCAAAATGAATTAATGAAAGCATCACATTAAGATGTGTCTCAAAATGAATTAATGAAAGCATCACATTAAGATGTGTCTCAAAATGAATTAATGAAAGCATCACATTAAGATGTGTCTCAAAATGAATTAATGAAAGCATCACATTAAGATGTGTCTCAAAATGAATTAATGAAAGCATCACATTAAGATGTGTCTCAAAATGAATTAATGAAAGCATCACATTAAGATGCCACTTGATGTTCCCTTGGTAGCAAAACTGCTACAAAATCTTCAGCAGGAGCCATGTTCAATAAATACATGGCAGGGTGATACGGTAACACCCATCCTTCAGATCTCCAGTTTGCCCTTACTAATTTGTTATGATTAAAAGCAAAACGAAAATCACTTACTCCCCACATAGTTACATACTGTGAGAAATGCAAACATTGTTTGGGCACAGTTAAACTGAGACACCACATAGCCTCCCGCACACTATGTGTATCTTAAAAACAGTTGCAACCCTCCAGGTAAGCTTAAACTCGCGCGTCAAGTCCAATATTTTAAGTGATAAATCTTTTTAAATTCCTTCAGAAACCTTACAATGTTTGTGTCTGTTCTTTGAAAGTGATCCTTTGAATTCCCGGGACGTTTGTTTATTTTCCAAGATTTAGAAATTATTGCATAATTGATTTATTTAAATAGAAATATCACTACGTTGTAAAGCTAATGGCGCTTTGTACTACGAGATCGAAGCATACTTACACGATATACAAAATGTATATACCTGCGTAGAAGGGACTCCGAGCACTCGCAGCGACCTCTCGGAACACCGCGAAGAGAGTTTTAGCTTCCGATTAAGCAAACAAATACGGATGTAACCAGCGCTTTGCCAAAGACAATAGAATCTTACCCCCTACACACTTACAGGCACAACCTCCACCATACGAGACGACCTCCTAGCCTTGGGAAAAGTGGTATTACTCGCCGTCGGCCTTTGTTTGGTTTAAGTGCTTATATGGGAATCACAATCTACCCTGTGTCATCAATACCATTGAGGGAAACTCTCTCTATTCTCTTTTTCTTTGACATTGTTTATGTGAGGCATAATGTCACCCATCTTCTATATTTCTCTTTGATTTGAAGATATGTAGATACATTTTGATTCGAAATTCTCGGCATTGTTTTGAGTCTGAGGTGGCCACGGAAGGACTTTTAAGTACTTATTTTCAAGTAGGAATGTCAATGCCAAACGTATCGATCCATCTCTCTTTTCTTCCATTCTATTGAATTGTTTCAGTGTATTCTACTGAGTAAATATTATCATCAGAATCCTAGCCGTTTACTGGGCTATGTTTACATGCCCGACAAAATTGAGAACGATTTTCGATGGCGAAAAACAAAACCAGGGAAATCCTGGGTTTAAAATACTTGAAAAATGTATAGAATATAGATGTTTTTGAACGGAGTGCAACTGTACTTAAGTTATTATTTACGGAAAGCATGATTATATTTAATAGGCTTTTAATATCAAAACAAAATTCCATCTATTCTCTCTTAGTTTCAAATGATCAATGAAACAGCACTTGTTCACCAACCTGCACCCTATAGACAGTAACATTCTATTATTCCACGGAAGATATTTTGTGTCTTTGACAAAAATACACCATTGGTGAAGTGTTAATGGTTTTGATATTCAGCGCTGCAGGCAAACCTGCTCGAAAGACCACCTCAGATACATGCAATAAACAACCTATGCTAAAAGACCACCTCGGACACATACAAGACACAACCTGTGGTAAAAGACCACCCCAGATACATACAAAAAACAACCTGTGGTAAAAGACCACCTCAGATACATGCAATAAACAACCTGTGCTAAAAGACCACCTCGGACACATACAAGACACAACCTGTGGTAAAAGACCACCCCAGATACATACAAAAAACAACCTGTGATAAAAGACCACCTCAGATACATGCAATAAACAACCTGTGCTAAAAGACCACCTCGGACACATACAAGACACAACCTGTGGTAAAAGACCACCCCAGATACATACAAAAAACAACCTGTGATAAAAGACCACCTCAGATACAT